TGGCAACGTTTCAAGGACACCTGATTGGGCGACGGGCAACCGAAATGCTGAGTCTGTAGATCTTGATGTACCATACCGAGGGCTGTGCTGTGCTGCGCCGTGCTGAACTGCGATGTGCCATGCCGCGATTGTGCTCTACAGCGTTGTGGATCGAGTCCTCCTTTGCATCCGAGTCCTGACCGAACTGATCTGGACCTTAAGCTCGAGCTGCCTCAGCACATTGTGGCTGTCCCAGCGAAGAATTGACAGGGGAACATGCCAGGAGGACGCGCCGCGGAACGACCCAAAGGAGGCGACCAGGCGACGTGCCAGGGGACGTGCCACGGGGACGCACCGCGGATGGTGCCGAGGGGACGCGCAACGGAACGTTAAAATACGTGGTCCTTGCTCGGGACAACCATGTTAGATATCCCCCTGGATGGCCTGGACACCTGAAAAAACAAACGCTTCGCAGGAGACATCCTTGGCAAACTCTGCGGAACAAGCATTTCGCTCGAGACATCCACGAAGAACGAAAAAGTGGCCCGCACCTTGCAAATTATCGATCATGATTTCGAAAACAAGCGTGTCGCCTGATACATCCTCAAAAATAATTCCGCCAGCCCTTCCCGACCTCGATATTTATCAAGGAATAATTCCGCCAGCCCTTCCCCAACATGGCCCGCTGGACAATTTACAAACTAAAAGAGAACCCTGGACCCACGCCCTTTCCGGGAAAAAGCTTCGACCACCTCTCGCACCCTTTGTTTGTTTGTTTGGGTTCGGATTCCGCCGCGTGTTCGGCGAACCCCGGAAGCTATCCCCGCCGCCCGTCGAGTTGCTTGAATCGTTGATCGGCGAGGGCGGAGTTCAGACTTCGCCGCCGAGTCCTCGAGGAGCTCGGCGGCCTCGGCGGCGATGGTGCTCGTGAGCTCCGCGCTCGGCACCGACAGTTCCGCAAAGGCCTCGGCGAGGCGCACCTCTCGGGCGAGGCCGTGCCCCGAGACCCGGGCGCGGCCATCCTGTGTCACGCCGGGCGTTTCAGCCCTGTGCCGGGCCCGCGGGCATCAACAGATGACAGCAGATGCCAAGGCATACAATCACGACAAAAGAAGAAAGGCATTCAGCCACAATCAATGGAAGACGAAGCTCAATTACCTTGGCGGCAGCGCAGCCACAATGGCAGACGAAGGCAAAGTGTAAGTGGTATGCTACATCCGTCGACAGTGCAGCCATCTGTTGAAAACGTACAGCAGTAGCTGGCGCAGGAGGCGGACGGAGGAGGAAGCACGGCCACGGGGCTCGGGGCTATTACGGATCGATCTGGCACGAAAACTGCCGCAGAAAGATTGGGTCCAGGGTTCTGGTCGTGACGCTTTGCGATGCAACGCTTGTTTCGCAATGTCGGATCTCGAGGGGGGAGGATTCTGGATTGCGCATCTGATTCAACCGTGGGCTGGTCAGGGATACGCGCGGCACTCAACTCGCCAAATGAGACTGGGGCTCGACCCCAAACAGTGCAAAGCAGGCGCTAACTGAGGACATTCGGAACGGGCGCCAAGACAGATCCCTACGCACACAAAGAACCTCAGCGACGAGAACGACGGGACGCGTCGCTCCGAAACGCCACTGTTAGAGAAGGGACAATTTTGCACGCTTAGCGCAATCCCACCAGCCCATCCAGAAACGATGCCCAGACGAGGTGCCCTGATCAGGGATGTGGAGGAGCATGCAGTGAAATGAAGGGCTGGGCAAGACGTTGTACCCCAAGAGGGGGAGGATGGAGGAGGAATCGAAGAAGGAGCAGGAGGGGGGGGAGGGGGACAAGCTAGGTGCGCAAGCGTCTTCTCTGACGTCCTACCCCTCCCTGACATCTCTCACCATGGCGTAGATCCCTGTCTGTTCACACAGTCGGATGTCGTCCCGTGAGGGTACGACATGTATTGTAGAGCACGGCGTAGCACGGCGTAGAAGAGCACGGCAGAGCGTGACATGCTCGGATGGTAACCGAACATAACGCAATACATGATCGACCCACGAACCCAGAAAGGAATATAGAACTGTGACACGTGGCAGCGTTTTCAAAGACACCTGATTGGGTGACGGGCAAATGCAATGCTGAGTGTATCGATCTTGATGTACCCTGCCGAGGGCTGTGCTGTGCCGCACCGTGCTGAATTGCGATGTGCCATGCCGCGAATGTGCTCTATAGCGTCATGGATCGAGTTCCTTTGCATCCGAGTCCTGACCGAACTGATCTGGATCTTAAGCTCGAGCTGCCTGAACACAGAGTAACTACCCCAGAGCTGATGGACAGGGGAGCATGTCAGGAGGACGCGCCGCGAAACGTCCCAAGGGATGCGCCAGGCGACGTGCCAGGGGACATGCCATGGGGTCGCACCGCGGGACGTGCCAAGGGGACGCGCTACGGAACGTGCCAATGGATGTGCCACGGGATGTGCCAGGGGACGCGCCACGCGACGTGCCAGGGAGACTCGCCAAGGGACGCGCCACGGAACGTTCCAAGGAACGTGCCAAGTTGCAATGCTGAGTGGATCGATCTTGATGTACCGTGCCGAAATATGTGCTGTGCTGCGCCGTGATGAATTGCGATGCGCCATGCCGCGATTGTGCTCTATAGCCTCGTGTATCGAGTCCTCCTTTGCATCCGAGTCCTGACCGAACTGATCTCGATCTTAAGCTCGAGCTGCCTGAACACAGAGAAGCTGCCCCAGAGCTAATTGACAGGGGAACATACTAGGAGGACGCGCCGCGGAACGTCTCAAGGGACGCGCCAAGCGACGTGCCAAGGGACGTGCCATGGGGTCGCACCGCGGGACGTGCCAAGGGGACACGCTACGGAACGTGCTGGGAAAAGCGTTTCGCTCGAGACATCCTGTCAAAATCCAAGGAAATCCTGGCAAAACAAACAAATTAGTCGAGACATCCTCGAAATTCCTGCGCGCGGGACGCGGCACGCGCGAGACATCCTCGGAATTCCTACGAGCGGGACGTGAAAACAAGCATTTTGCCTGAGACATACTCTGAACTCTGGCCCCCCACGAGGCCCCCGCTCGAGACATCCCTCAATTTTGCAAAACCAGTGTTTCGCTCGAGACATCCTCAACAAATTATGAAAAGTTTGCAAAACCAGCGTTTCGCTCGAAACGTCTTCAACAAATCATGAAAGACACGCATTTCGCTCGAGACATCCTACCAAAATTCAAGGAAAGCCTGGCAAAACAAACGAATTAGTCGAGACATCCTCGAAATTCCTGCGCGCGGGACGCGGCACGCGCGAAACATCATCGGAACTCCTGCGCGCGGGGCGCTTTTCCGCGTCGCGGTCGGCTCCGCAAAACCAGCGTTTCGCTCGAGACATCCTCAACAAATTCTGAAAACAAGCGTTTCGCTCGAGACATCCCCAACTCTGCAAAACCAGCGTTTCGCTCGAGACATCCTCAACAAATTCTGCAAAAAAACAGCGTTTCGCCAAGGACATCCTCAAAAATAATTCCGCCGGCCCACCTCGACCTCGATATTTATCAGGGAATAATTCCACCGGCCCACCTCAAGTCAGACCCGGGGGTAAACAGCGAAAAGAGAACCCTGGGCCTACGCCCTTTCCGGGAAAATATATGTAAATGAACGGTTCGGAGAGAGCGGAAGCGTAACATGAGAGCCAACGCTGTAGCGGTAGCGGGACACGATTTGGAAGATCCGCAACAAAATGAGGTCAGCGCTGGGTGTAGGATTTGGCAGGATTGCGAGCCAGAACATCGAGCCAACGCTTTAGCGGGAGCGCCATTCGGGAAACGCCGAAAACGTTCGGATTGAGAAAACATGTATGATCGATCACCTTTTCGGAAGCCCCGAGGCTCCCAAGGGTGCGCCAAGACGGCCCCAAGAGGTGCCCAGGAGGCCCCCAAGAGGCCCCCAAGAGGCCCCCAAGAGGCCCCCAAGAGGCCCCCAGAAGGCTCCCAAGAGAGGCCCAACAGGCCCCCTGATGCCCCGAGGCACCCAAGACGCCCAAACTCCCGGGACAGCCAAGAGACCCCCACGGCGCCCCAAGAGGACTCCAAGAAGCTGTTGAGATGCATCCGAAGAGACACGGGGAGGCATCCAAGAGGCCCCTGGCTTTTCTGCTCGCCCTCCTCCTCCTCATCCTCCTCCTCCTCCTGTTCCTCCTCCTCCTCTTCCTCCTCCTCCTCCTCCTCCTCCTCCTCCGATTCCTCCTCCGTCTTCCCCCTCCTGGGGTATGACGTCTTACCCAGCCCTGTATTTCACTGCATGCCCCTCCACATCCCTGGTCAGGGCAACTCGTCTGGGCATCGTTTCTGGATAGGCTGGTGGGGTTAAGTTCTTCTTTGGTTCGTGGAAGCACGAAACGAGTCGAACGCCGAGCGTGCTAGGGCGGGCCGCTCCCGTAGCACTGGTGGGGGTACTTTTTTGATCGCGACCGGAGCGACAAATCGCTCGGCGTCAAGTCGAAGCGCAGCTAACGAGCAGCGGACTAAATGAGGCACTAAGCGCGCAGGAGCGATCTGGTGGGGTTACGCGAAGCGTTTGGAATAACGAGAGGGAGGAAGAAGGCTGGGACGCAGACCGGGAACCTCTGGATCGTTTCGACCTCGGACCTCCTCTACCGAACACGCGCTCGCCCTCTACCTGCACGTGCGACCGGCGACGCGACACATCAACATGCGCGGCACATGCTGCCTGAGACGACGAAGCGCATCTCAGGCATTGGAAGGGGAAGGAGGCGGAAGGGAGGGAGGCGTATGTAAAGGAAGGCGAGTGCCGAGGGTGGGTGTATCGAAGCTCGTATGCCGACCGCGACGTGTACGAGTGTCTGGCCAGTCGCAGCGCTGACCAAAACAACTAAAGGGGTTACCGCCCGCATGCTCCTAGAAGCTACTCTTACCATTTCGTGAAGCCCCCCCCGCAAGCCTCCTCAAGGGGGTTCAGAGCGACAACGCGTGAACAATATATTCACCCCTCCTTCCGACTAGCGTGAACAATTAGACAGACGATGTGTTGTCCGAAAATGCATGCAGATGCTCGGCTCTTTTCTGTTGGTGAATGCCCTCGCCACCTCCCGGGGCTCTCACGATGCGCCCGCTTTGTCGGCAAGGGTGGGCCAGTGGGCTGACAAACTGCTTCACCCACTGCCCTGAAAACCAGAACTGATGCGGAGAGCACGCGGCCACGTGGCGCTGCAAGCACTGAGTGCTACGCGCGACGCGCTCCGACATCGCGCCGAGGGACATCACGACGCCACCAACTCTGTATGCTCACAACGCAGCATGGGGGAAACCGGTCCTGAGGGAAAGGGGCCCTTGACCCCGGAGCCTTCCCCCCAGACGAGCTCTTCGTCCCACACCCCTTTCTGACGGTCCCGGGGCCTGTGGAGGGCCCCGGCAAGCCAAAAGGCCAAGAGAAACCTCAGGACCAGCATCCCTCAGGACCCGTTTCCCCCATGGCGAAGCTCTGGATGCTCATGAACATTCAATCTGCACAGCCGCCGGAACATGCCCATCGGCCTTTGCGCCCTGGCCCCGCGGCCGGGCGACGCAACAGGCTCCCGCCCGGGCCCACCCCGAAGGTCTTTGCAGGGGATGCTATGGGGCGAACGAGCGGGCGGCGCCGGCTCCGCTTACTCCTCCTCCTCCTCCTCCTCCTCCTCCTCCTCCTCCTCCTCCTCCTCCTCCTCCGCATCCATCCCTTGTCATTATACTGATCCTGGCCCTCGTCCTCCTCCTCCTTCTCCTCCTCCTCCTCCTGCGCCTCCTCCTCCTCCTCCTCCTGATCAGCCCCCTGCTCGTCCCCCTCCTCTGCTGCTTCGCCGCCTCATGAGGCGAATGGAAGAGCACTCCCTATCGCAATCCTATCACCACAGAGCGATCAAAGACGGCACAGGAACGCCCATTAAAAAAAAGACACCGAGAACGGATCTGGGAGCCCCCCAAAACGGCTCACGACAGCCTCTGCGGCCGGCAGGCGCGAGAGCAGGAGCCCGACGCTCCTGGCAGCCTGTGCTGACGAGCAAGCTGGAAAGAGAAAGGCGGAGGGAGCAAGCCGACGACGACGAATTCGCAGGCAGGACGCTACAGTCAACCCGTATAATAAGGACGCACGATAAGGATGCAAGGGCCTTGAAAGGCTATGTCGGCACTCTGCGGGCGGGGCGCGGCCAGCGAAAGCTGCCAAGAATGGGCCGAGGGGGAAGGATGCAAGGGTAAGCTTGGAAAGTTGCTCACCCTTCCTATGCGGGTTGACTGTCGGGCTGGCGGGACGAGGCAGATTGGCGGGAAGATGGAGGGGAAGGACAGCAGGCAGGGAGCAGGTCAGCGTCATGTGCTGGCGTCCCGGCGTCAGATCGACGTCTCGATCTCTTTGTCCTCGACCTCTGCCCTCAGGGCAGTATCCTCGCCCTCGCTCTCCGCCTCCACCTCCAGAGTCAAAGGGAGCACTTGGTGGAGGACGAAGAAGACAACGAAAGCGCCAAGGCAGATAGCGTGCCCCAGAAGCATCGTCCCCAGGTACCTGCCGTACGCGTAGTCCGCCTCCTCACCGCTGTTTTTTGTGTAACTGCCGGCGATGTTGAGGTCGTAGGTCCACCCCAGCTCGCTCTCCGGGAACGCCAGGCCAGGGTTGAGGGCCTTCCAGTCCGCCACGTCCTTGCCCTGGAAATAATAGGAGAGCCCGAAGAACCAGCCGACGGCGAAGGGCGCCACGAAGGCAAGCGGGGCCCTCCGCCAGCCACGGCGCCCCTCTCTCTTGGTGCGCCAGATCGTCATCCACCAGATGGGAAACCCGAGGCCCATCACGGCCATCCCTGCGACAGTGGTGGCCTTCATCGCGTCGGTCTCCATGCCCAGGAAGGAGTTGCCGACGAACATGAGGATGACGATGAAGGCGCGGGCCACCGTGATGTGCTGGTGGCCGATGTGGTCGATGTCCACTGGCCTCAAGGGCCCCATGGCCTCGCGCGTGTCGCCCTCGAGCTGCAGCCAACCGCAAAACTCCAGGGACACCAGCTTGGCGGCCGAGGTGAAGGTCGAGTCGAGGGTAGAGAGTGAGGCGGTGATCATGACCAGGTTCACGAAGACCTCGACGCCCCTGTACGTGCGCTGACCCAGTATCGCGGCCACGTCGCTGGCTTCCCCACGCTCCCCCGCCAGAAACTCGCACGGGCTCCAGTCCGTCGGGCAGGCGCTGGTCGCAGCCAGGGCGGCCCCCCCAGAGCACCCGCAGTCGGCGGCGTACTTCTCCTCCAGCCAGACGCCGTAGATCCCAATGACGGCGTAGAAGAAGATGAACAACATCGCGAGGAAACCCCCGACGAAGAAGGACTTCAGCATCGTCTTCGGCCTCCCCAGGAACGCGCGGTCCGTCAGCACGGGGTCGAACCACGGGTAGGAGACGGAGCCGCCTAGCGCGCCCGCGATGGTATAAGCCCACCATCCTGGCTGCCATCCATCCACTCCATAAATGGACTCGCTGGGGCTATATTCGAAGGCGTTCGTCTGCTTCGAAAAGTCCTCGTCGGAGGCGATGAAGCCGAGGATCACCGCAAGAAAGGTGACCGCGAGACCAGCCTGGAATACATCGCTGAAGAGGGATACACGCATGCCTCCCATAAGAACGTAACCTGCCGGGATCGCAACGGAGAACCAAGTCGCGCCCCAATATTTATCCGATCCTGTCGAACCGTAGAACGTGCCGATAACAGAAGAATTGCTCCAAACTTCATTGAAGAGCCGGAAGAGCACGCAGAGCTGGAAGCAGATCACAGCCACAGCCCCGTAGTTCTTGAATATTGCAGTGGGCAACGACTTGAAATTGTAGCGGGTGCGCAGCACATAGCAGACTATGGCAGAGGAGAAGAAAGACAGGTACCAGGAATCGTACGCAAGACCGCCGAGCACTCCGAAGCGGGCACCCAGTACTGCCGAGTTGCGGATAGACTTGGCAAAAATCCAAGTAATGAAGGCAGATGGCATCAACGTCCAGAAACCAATGCCCGCATCTGCCTCCTCGTTGGTACTTTGACTAAGGTACTTGTCCCTCACCCTCTGTTCGAGATCCTCCGCAGTTGGAAGCGGATGACTCCTGAGGTAGAATTTCAAGAGGTCTGTCATCGACACGCCTTCGCCAAGGTAAAACTCATAGGGACGATTCGAGACGTTGGCGGTCACTACAAACAGAAGCGAGTACCAGTAGATTAAGTGCCAATTGTCGCAATGTCTGCCCTCATCGCAGGTGTCTTGAATCTGAAGGTAACCGACGACGCAGGCCATGACAAGGAAGATCGCACGATAGAAAAATTGTGGAGTCTTGAAGAGCTTCTGAAGCAAAGAATCTTCGACCGTTGGCTTCTTCCCCTCAGGGTTGAATCCTCTGAGAAGCACATGAATTGCGCCACAGATCAGAGCGTAGCCAGCCAGCGTGAAGATACCAATAAAAAGTGACTCCGCCGGGATGCCGATCTCCCCGTCCTTGCCAACCCAGTTCGTCATTGCTGGCACGGCCGAAACGCGCGGTGGTGCGTGCGGGAATGGGCTGGCCACGACGGCCTGCCGACGTCAGGATCCTCGGCCAAGACTAGAGTCCAGACGGCTTGAGCCAAATGGCCGATTCTGGTAACCCTGAACCCAAATATATTACTACCTCTTGGGGGCGCATGCTGTACTTCCGCCGGTTTCCGCCAGCCTTCCACGGGTTTCCGCCAGCGGAGGCGGCCTCGCTTTACTTCCTCAGGCCGCCGCTCTTCCGCCGCTTTCCGCCGAGGAAAAAGCCGCCGAGGCCCCTCCTTCCATCCTTCGATCCTCGAAGGCAAGGCTCGTCGAGGATCGAGGATCGAAGGAGGGCCAACTCCTTCGACCCTCGAAGGCAAGGCCCTCTTTGGAGCGCCCCAAGTGGGCGATTTCGGAAACCCTGAACCTAAAAACATGTTCATCTCTTGGTGGCACATCTTTTACTTCCGCCGCCTTCCGCCGATCTTCCGCCGGCGAAGGCGGCCTCGTTTTACTTCCGCCGACCTTCCGCCACCTTCCGCCGAGAAAGAGATGACAACTCCTTCGATCCTCGAAGGCAAGGCCTTTTTTGGAATGCCTCGAATGGCCACGGGGTGGGGGGACGGGGGGGGGGAAGGGGTTGGGGCAGAGGGCGCACCGTGGCCCGAGGCGCGCGCGCGCGCGCGTGCGGGGGGAGGGGCCAAGGAGAGCATGCCAGATGCAAAAGAAAGCGCCACGAGGCCTGGGAGATCTAGCGGCCCCGGCCACGATGTCCGCGTACACACACACACACACCTTGATGAAATGGCTTACTGTGTCAGAGCTCTGTGAGCCACCATGTCTACGTACAGTGCGAAGCCGCTATCCCACTTAATGGGATTTCTGCTCATGGATATACGGTGAAACCGATTGTTCGGGAAACGACATTCCAAGAGATACTCAAGAGGTAACCCTAGAGTGCACATGATGGCCCAAAATTTGATCACTCCTCCTGGGACGTAGGAGGCATCTTAGACCTCCAAAACCTCTGATGCCGTGCTCTGATACCGTGATGCGCCAGTGATCGTACTGCACGAGTCACGTGGCAGCACTGTAGTAGTCTTACAATTGCAGTGGTAGTACTCAACCCTTGCAGTAAAGATCATGCGCGAGTACTTGCTTCCGAGAGTGTTGCAGGAAGAGTGCTGCACTATTGTGGAATAGTTTTCTCTCTTGTAGTAGTGGCACTGTAGAAGCAGCACTCTACGACGGCATGCGTAATAGTAGTGTTCTACTATTGCCTGCAGCGAATGTACTACAATAGTGCAATAGGGATACTCAAATGCCGTAGTGTGGCAGCACGGTTGTAGCACTATCATACTATAGTGGTGTAGTGGTGACACTGTAATACTAGTTATACACTTTTGCAGCACTAGTACTGCAGTAGTGGCCCTCTTGTACTGTATCACTGTACGAATAGTAGTCGAATACTGGCCCGTTGATGTGCGCGCGTGCAGGGTAGCCACGTGCACACAGCAACGCAGAATGGCAACCAAACGCTGCTATGCTCTACGAAAGATTCTTAAAGTGTCTGAAGGCAGCTGGCCACCAAACACTGCTACGTTTTAAGGTTCGAGCCCGAAAGCACTGCTGCGGAAACGCTCTGCGCGAACCCCCACGCGAGTCCCGCGGAACAACTGCAAGAGCTGGAAAGCACAGTCTTGTTAAACTGTCAATAAGAGAGAGACAAAGAGAGAGAGAGAGAGAGAACAAAAAAATGAGAAAGAGAGAGGAAGACGAAGAGGAATCAGACGAGGAAGAGGAAAAAGGAGTGGCAGAACGAGCGAAAGGTATGATCTCAATGCGGGGCCGACCATACATATATCTATATGTGTATATATATATATACTAGAACCACGCGCGCGCTACGCGCGCGCTCAGGTTCTAGGTACTGGATGAGCCACGGGTGCCGCTGTAAGCCCCGCTGTGGCCACAACGACGATTTCCAGCGTTCCCGGGCCCATGCCATCGACGCAAAGAAACGCGTAGTCAGAACGCGGGGCGCCACGTTCCCGCGTATCTCACAATCTCGCTGCCGCCTTTGTTTGGTTTATCGAACTGCGTTGTTTCTCCACTTTCACTTCCGCTCTGCCCCGTCGTGACACTTAGCGTTTTTGCGCTGATACTCGGTATCCCCATGCCCGATCACGCAAACATCCGCCGGCTCCTGATGTTGGGGCTGGCTCGGGGCATCTCTGCGCGCGCTTGGGAGCGCGTTGTTTGTTGGTCCCTCTTCCTTGTGTTCCAAGCTTCTCGTTTTCAGCGGTCGTTCAGCTGTCGGGTATTTGCAGAGGGCGCGCGCATATGTCCCGGTCATCAATGCACTTCTCTGCAATCAATTGTTGTGTCCGTCCACGGGAGTTGGGAAGCTTCTTAGTGCTGGCGATAATCGCACCCGTGGGATCAGAAGGTTCGGGCTCACGGGGGATGCTCAAGGATTTGGCGTGGCAAGTCCCATGATGGGGCTGCCTGGTGCTGGCGATAATCGCACCCGTGGGATCAGAAGGTTCGGGCTCGCGGGGGATGCTCAAGGATCTGGCGTGGCAAATCCCATGTATGGGGCTGCCTGGAGCTCTAACGGGGCCTCTGGCGGTACCTTCTTGGCGCTCAGGCGAAGCCTTTCAGGAGGTGAGGGAGGGGCACGAAACCTGAGAAATTGCCCAGTATAGCCACGCCCCGCTCGCTCGGGCGGGTCCTCCCTGCAAGGGTGGGAGGAGGAAGAATCGCGTGAAATAATATGGTGTAGGGATGCCCTGCTCTCCCTGGCAAGGGTTTCCCTGGCGCGCCGGCCGGCCATGCCCAGGAGGGGAGGGAGGAGCGCGAAACCTAAGGAAAATCCGGGTATAGCCACACCCCGTGCGCTCTGACGGGACTACATCGGGTGCGGTAGGAGGAGCAAGAGAGAACAGGGACTGTATATGGTATAGCAACACCCCTCTCGCTCTGCCGGGGCCGCCCTTGAGGGGTGGGAGGGGCAAAGCAACTTGTGAAATGATAGCGTATAGCGATGCTCCGCTCGCTCTGGCGGGGCCTGTCTGGCGCTTTGGCGGGGCCGTCCCAAGAGAGGAGGGAGGAGCACGAAAGCTTGGGGGTGAGGGGAGGAAGAGGAGAGAGAGAGGAGGGAATGGAGGCAAGGGGAGGGGGCGGGAGGGAAGGAGGGACGGAAGGGGGAGGCCCTGGCCATCTGGGCCGTCTTGGAGCGCCTTGGGGCTCCCCGCTAAAGCTCTGTGGAGTGGATTAGGCCTGTCCTGGGGCTCTCTTGGGCCGTCTGGGGCTTCTCCTGGGCAATTTTCGGGCTCTCTGGGGCCGTCTTGGGGCTCTTTGGGGGGCCTCTTCGGCTGTCTTGGGGCGGTCTTGGGGGCGTCTTCGGCCGTCTTGGAGCGTTGGAAGCTCGAGAACGCGAGAAAGCGGAAACATTGAAAAAACAAGTGAAAATCAAGGATTTGGGCCTCTTCGGGCTCTCTCGGGACGTCTCTCGGAGCTCTCTTGGGGCCTCTTGGAGGCCTCTTGGGCTGTGTGTTTGCCATCTTGAGCTCATCTTGGGCCACGTTGGGATCATCTGGGCCGTCCTGGAGCGCCTTGGGGCCTCCCGCTCCCGCTCTGTGGCCCAGCTTGGGCCTGTCCTGGGATTCTCTTGGGCAATCTTGGGCTGCTCTTGGGCAGTCTTCAGGCTCTCCTGAGCCGTCTCGGGGCTCTGTTGGGAGCCTCTTCGGCGGTCTTGGGGCGATCGATCTTCGGGGCCTCTTCGGGGCGTCTTCGGTCGTCTTGGAGCGTTGGAAGCTCGAGAACGCGAGAAAACGGAAAACATGTCTCTCGGGACGCCTCTCGGAGCTTTCTTGGGGCCTCTTGGAAGCCTCTTGGGCTGTTTAATTGCCGTGTTGGGCCCATCTGGGGCCACGCTGGGGCCATCTGGGCCGTCTTGGAGCGCCTTGGGGCCTCCCGCTCCCGCTCTGTGGCCCAACTTGGGCCTGTCCTGGGGCTCTCTTGGGCCGTCTGGGGCTTCTCCTGGGCAATTTTCGGGCTCTCTAGGGCCGTCTTGGGGCTCTTTGGGGGGCCTCTTCGGCTGTCTTGGGGCGGTCTTGGGGGCGTCTTCGGCCGTCTTGGAGCGTTGGAAGCTCGAGAACGCGAGAAAGCGGAAACATTGAAAAAACAACTGAAAATCAAGGATTTGGGCCTCTTCGGGCTCTCTCGGGACGTCTCTTGGGCCGTCTTGGGGCTCTTTTGGGGGCCTCTTCGGGGGAGTTGTCGGCCGTCTTGGAGAGTTGGAAGCTCGAAAACGCGAGAAACCGAAAAACGTAGAAAATAGCATGATCGACCCACGAACCCGGAAAGGAATATAGAGCTGTAACGCATGGCAACGCTTTCAAAGACACCTGATTGGGTGACTGACAAATGCAATGCTGAGTGTATCGATCTCGATGTACCCTGCCGAGGGCTGTGTTGTGCTGCACCGCGCTGACCTGCGATGTGCCATGCCGCGATTGTGCTCTAATAGCGTCGTGGATCGAGTCCTCCTTTGCATCCGAGTCCAGACCGAACTGATCTGGACCTTAAGTTCGAGCTGCCTGAACACATAGTAGCTGCCCCAGAGCTAATTGACAGGGGAACATGCCACGAGGACGCGCCGCGAAACGACTCAACGGACGCGCCAGGCGACGTGCCAGTGGACGTGCCATGGGGTCACACCGCGGGACGTGCCAAGGGGACGCGCTGCGGAACGTGCCAATGGATGTGCCACGGGATGTGCCAGGGGACGCGCCACGCGACGTGCCAGGGGGACTCGCCAAGGGACGCCCCACGGAACGTGCCGAGGAACGTGCCAAGTTGCAATGCTGAATGTATCGATCTTGATGTACCCTGCCGAGGGCTGTGCTGTGCTGCGCCGTGCTGAATTGCGATGTGCCATGCCGCGATTGTGCTGGATAGCGTCGTGGATCGAGTCCTCCTTTGCATCCGAGTCCAGA